TAAAATAATTCCTGATGTCACTTGGGGGCGGACGTTAAATTGCCTCTTGATCAGCCAGATCATCCGAGTGGAAGGCTCGTCGGCGTACGAGGGTAAATAAGAGTGTTGTGGCTGCCTTGCTCGACGATAACCCGGGGCACAGGGGTGGGACCGGATTGCACACCTTCAGACATGCTTGACTTCATATGCTTAGGGACGTGACACCGTGACATTGAGAAGAACTGTGGGAGGGGTAGGTTCCAGGTGATAAGTTTGGGTTTAAATTCCATGCTATGAACAGACCCAGTCAGGCAACCTTATTTTTATTTTGATTAGTTAGATGGACAGCCATGTGACATCTGACAAACAACATTAGTTTAGAATATTGTTTATTCCTGATGCTTCCTCTGTTTGAGAACTAATCTTATTAAAAATAGTATTGACGGTAGGAATCTGACTTACCTGTTGACCCCAAATGAGATCTGTTCCAAAAATAGCCACCACTAAATAGTTGGTCTGTGCACTATGCTGCGGTAGGCATCTAGAATGATCTAGTGTGGACATTGCACAGTGTTGTAGTCCATGAGCGACACAGGGGACACCAGAGAGGACGACCGCAGGATTTTGCGATCTGCAAGAGGCCCGAGGCCCGATAACTCACGTGTCCTTAGGACCGGAGGGTGATAGGGAACTGTTCCGCCGGTAGCGGGAGAGGCAGCAGCAGAGGAGAGCTAGAGCAGCCGAGGCCAGCAAAACCTTAGTTGGCGAGGCCGGTGCTACAGCAGCCATGGCTACCACAGCCATGAGCACGTCTGCGCAGCAGACTTCCCAAGCCGGAAGTTCAGGTACCGCCGGGTCCACGGTCGCACAGACCGTGAGTCAGTCCACTAGCTTAGTGGTAAGCCAGCCCGCGGTGTTGACCCCAGAGGATGTCGCCATCCAGCAGGCAGCCCTGCAGGAGGCACAGCTACAGCAGGCTTTAGGACAGATAAAAAGGGAACCAGGATGCAACAGAGAGGGATAGACATAGAGGAGTTAGAGACGATGGACCTGACGCATATGGATGATGATATGAAGGTAGTTAGGAGGGCCYTGCTAGGCGTAATTGAGATGCAGGAGCATCAAACTACCATCCTTCAGGAAATTCAACAAAGCCTCGCCGTGTTGGCAGGAAGCGCTCAGGCAGCACCATCACCAGCAGGGCCTGGTGCCTGGCCCGTGCCATATCCTCCTTTTTCTGTTCCACCGGTGACTGGGGTATCCCCATATGTAGCCCCGTCATCGGTTGCTATCGTTTCCCTGGGCATGCCTCTGTCAGGAGGGGTAACAACAGGGAGTAGTTTACAGGTTCCTGTACAGACAGTGTTTACTCCAAGTCCGTCACAGGTTGCAGTCACCACGCAGCCTGCTGTCTCGCAGCCAATGCAGCCTCAGGGCTCACAGCCCCAACAGCTAGCACAGCAACCTGTTTCACCGGGTCCACAACCTGGAATGATGCAGGGACCGGGACAGACACAGTGGGTTCCAAAGACGGCCATCGCCGCTCCCAAACCTTTTACAGGGGACAAGAGAGGCGAGGACCTCGACACATGGTTGAGGGCAGTGCCAGTCTACGTCAGGTGCAAACTCACCTTGCCGCACGAAGAAGTGCTTGTGGCTGCCTCCTACCTCGAGGGTAGTGCAGCAAGATGGTTGAGTGGTCTGGTACAACTTCAGGGATACGGTCATGACTTTCGCGCTTGGGCGGCCTCCCAAAAATTGGAGGACTTCCTGAAGATGGTGGAAGAGAGGTGGCATGATCCTCAGGAGGCTCAAAGGGCCACTGACGCGATCCTGACACTGCACACATGGCAGTTTAAGTCAGTAAGGGAAGCCACCGACGTTGTTGAGCGTTTGATTTGTCCCTGGGGTACGCTATGATCCTCAGGTCCTGTTGACTTCGTACCTGAGATGTTTTTCACAGCCTCTCAGGAACCAGTTGGCAAAAGAGGCCAACATCAATATGCACAACTTTCCTTCGTTTAGCAAGGTGGCCCTAGACCTGGAAGCAAAGATAGGGCATGGACAGGCACCCACTACGGAGGGGAGAAAGAAGACACTGCCTCCCAACTGGAAGGCGAAGGGTCGCTTAATGTTTGTCGACAACGATGGTTCAACCATCGAGTTGGACGGCAACTTCCAGGAGGGAGTAGGTGTAGAGGCAGGTGGCGAAACTTCAGAGGGTGGAGTAGTCGCCGTCGTAACCCAACAAAAAGGTAAGGGGACCGGTAGACGCCGAGGAGGCTCCCGGTCTAGGAATCAAGTTGACCCCAATGCTCCTCCATGGGAGAAAGCGGGTCTTTCCGAGGACGTGTGGAGAGATCGGTGGAACCTACAGGCCTGCATTCGTTGTGGTCAATACGGCCATAACCAGTTCAAATGTAGGAACAAAAAGATCACCGATAAGATCCCGCCTACTATGGGGCAGGTGGTAGGATCCTCATCTCCCGTAGGTAGCAATGTTGCCAGTTCGTCAGGCACTGCTCCGGGAAACACGTCAGGCCAGTAGGAATAGTAGTTGTTCCTACTAGGGACGAGGTGGTGGAGACACCCTCGCCATCTCGCATCATGGCCCAAGCTACTGATTCCCTTGTCGTCCCGCAAACACATTCAGACCCATCGACCCTTTGTTCGATGAATGTGTTTGAGTCCTTAGAGGAGCTAGAGGAGGAGTGGTCTAGATTAGACCCGCTAGCTTCTTGGACGGCACTAGCTAAAGGCCCGAAGGGTGAGATGTTCGTCAGCGAGATAGTCATAGGCGGTCGCAAGGCCGGGGCCTATTATGACACTTGCTCGACACGAAACTTTATTAGTCGCGCGTGTGTTGAGAGGCTGCGTTTACAGGGGCAAGTGCAGCGCCTGAGTCGACTTGTGGAGTCGACCTGTGCCAACAAACAGCGCATGGTAATCCATGACTACCTCTCTGTAGCACAGCCCCAGCTTGACTGGGACCGAAAAGTGGTCAAGCACACTTTGCCAGGTGGAGGGACCGCCAGATTACACAAGTTCAAAGCTAGTAGTCTGATCGATTCCCATGGATGCATGTGTGCGGCCGCGTTCTATAACTACTATAAGCAACATCAGGAGGAGGGTATGTACTTAGTATATGTCTCTGCTGCAGGCGAGCCGGTGAAAATGCCGCCGGAGATAGAGGGAGTAGTTGCCAAGTACCCTGATCTATTTGAAGAGCCAACAGGGGTTGTTGATAGGGAGGTCGTCCACGCGATAGAGATTATCCCAGGGTCTAGTATTCCGAAGGGTAGGATCTATCGGATGTCTCCAGGCGAGCTTGATGAGCTACGCCGCCAACTCAAGGAACTCATAGAGAAGGGTTGGATCCGGCCGAGTGTCTCTCCTTACGGATCTCCAGTACTATTCGTACCTAAGAAGAAGGAGGGCACTCTCAGGATGTTCATTGACTATAGGGGCCTCAATGCCATCATTGTGAAGAACAGAGAGCCCCTACCGTGCATCGATGATCTGTTAGATAGAGTGCAAGGGTGTCGGTACTTCAGTAAGATAGATCTGAAGTCCGGGTACCATCAAATTGCAATCCGGCCCGAGGATCAACACAACACCGCATTTCAGACCAGGTACGGTCTGTACGAGTTTGTGGTGATGCCTTTTGGCCTTTGCAATGCTCCTGGCACCTTTCAGCACACTATGAATCAGATATTCCATGACTACTTGGATAAGTTTGTCGTCGTGTACCTCGATGACATACTTATTTTTAGTAAGACTATCGAGGAGCACGTAGCACACTTAGACAAAGTTCTCAGTCTCCTGCGACAGCACAAGTTTAAGATCAACGGTGAAAAGTGCGAGTTTGGCCGCACCCATATCTTGTACTTGGGTTATGAGATCTCCGCGGAAGGGTTGAAGCCCGATGACGCGAAGGTGGCCAGCATTCGCGACTGGCCACGTCCTCAGTCTGTGACTGAGATGAGTTCTTTCTTAGGAATGACAGGCTATTATAGAACTTTCATGAAGAACTATAGCATAGTGGCGGCTCCTTTGACTGATCTGACCCGCCTTGACACCCCATGGGAGTGGACAGATAAGTGCGAGGCTGCTTTCAGACATCTGAAGCATGCATTAATGCACTATGAAGTCTTGAAACTTCCTGATCCTGACAAGCCGTTCATAGTCACCACGGATGCCAGCCAATACGGCATTGGCACCGTGCTCGCGCAGCAGGAGGGGTCAAAGTTGAGGCCAGTTGAGTACATGTCTAAGAAAATGCCATCTCAAAAGTTGGCTAAGTCCACTTATGAGAAGGAACTCTATGCGGTGTACAAGGGTCTCACCCATTGGAGACACTATCTCCTTGGGAGGTTCTTCATCCTCAGAACTGATCATCAGACCCTGAAATGGATGAGAACCCAGCCGGTACTCTCTGACGCTCTCAAGGGTTGGATCGAAGTCATTGAGCAATATGACTTTGACCCTCAATATCTAAAAGGGGAGTATAACAAGGTTGCTGACGCCCTGTCGCGTAGACCAGACTTCTTAGGTGCGCTGATTACTGAGTTCAGTCTCACGGACAATGTTACTCAATCTTTGGTGGAAGCCTATCGCAAGGACCAGTTTATGTCTGAGATCATACGCAGACTTGAGGCGAAGGACAAGAAGACGTCCGCCGAGTTTGAGTTGGTTAATGGCTTGCTGTTCCTTGAGAAGGCAGGGAATAAATGATTGTGTGTTCCCAATAGTGAGTCTTTACGTAGTTTGTTTCTAGGTGAGTGTCATGATGCCACCGGTCATTTCGGGTATAAGAAGACCGAAGCCAACTTGCTGCAGCGATTCTGGTGGCCCACGATGATGCGAGATGCACAACTGTACGTGGAGACTTGTCAAGTTTGTCAACGGGACAAGCCCCGTACTCAGGCTCCTCTTGGGCTGCTCAAGCCCCTTCCGATTCCGGAAAGGCCAGGTGAAAGCTTGTCCATGGACTTCATGGATGCGCTGGTCACCCGCAAGAGTGGGATGAGGCAGATCTTCGCCATCGTGGATAGGTTAGTAAGTATGATAGGTTAATAGCCATGCCGGAAACAGCGAAGACCGAGTATGTAATCAGGCTGTTCAAAGAGAACTGGGTGAGGGATTTTGGATTGCCTAAGTCTATTGTAAGTGACAGGGATGTCAGATTTACAAGTGAATTATGGAAGGCCGCTGCAGCTGAACAAGGAACTCAACTGCAAATGACTTCTGGAAACCATCCAGAAGCAAACGGCCAGGCTGAACAGATGAACCGCGCTGTTCAACACCTGTTGAGGCATTACATTAAGCCCAACCAGGTGGATTGGGACGAGAAGCTTACAATAACGCTGTACACAGCGCTACCGGGGTAAGTCCTAACAGTCTACATCTTACCTTTAGGCCTAGACTGCCTTTAGACTTCCTACTTCCTGATAACCAGCCAACTGTTACACCGGGCACTTTGGAGTTCGCTTATCTTTACGAACAGAAAATGCAGGAGGCTGTAGAGCACATGCAGAAGGCGCAAGCAACAATGATAGAATCTGAGAATAAACACCGCCGCAATTCTACATTTCAGGTTGGGGACAGAGTCTGGGTCAAGTCTTCAGAACTGGGACAGGATTTCGGGATATCCCGCATGGGAAGTTTTAGACGTAGTAGGGACAGATCCTGATGGCCCATCTTATGTCATCCGTATCCCTGGTCATCTCAGAACTCACCCAGTCTTTCACGCCTCTAAGATCGCTGCATCCAAGGAAACTGATCAGTTTCCCTCTCGTCGGTCAATGCTGCCCCCAACCATGGACGAAGAAGTCGACATCGATGATATCGTCGACCACAGGGAGATGCCCATTCAGAAGCCTCCAGGAAGGGGACGTCCTCCAAAGCCAAAGCTGCAGTTTCGTGTCCACTTCAGACATCACACATATCCGAAGGAGGACCGCTGGTTTATTAGGGAGGAATTGATGCAGACCGCTCCTCAAATCGTTGCCCGCTATGGTGAAATTCAGACAGTTGGTTGAAGGCGCCCAGGCCCAAGCCATATTTTGCAAATGTATCTGAATGGTGACCTGGGCCAGACTCGTGGAAAAGGCCGTGAGCAGGCCAAGGGCAGTTGGGCACATGTAACCATC